CCTGCCTGAGAGGCATCACCACTAACACTATTCTTTTTTTTTTTTTTTAATATTTATTTAGTTAGTTAGTTGTCTGGGGTTTTAGTTGTGGCCCCAGGGCTCCTTAGTTGTGGCACATGGGCTCCTTAGTTGTGGCACGCGAACTCTTAGTTGCGGCATGCATGTGGGATCTAGTTCCCTGACCAGGGATCGAACCCAGGCCCCCTGCATTGGTAGCACAGAGTCTTATCCACTGTGCCACCAGGAAAGTCCCAACACTATTTTTAGGTTTTCCAGAAACCCTATGACATCCTTCAGCATCACTTTTGCAGCCCTACCTTGTGAGTCTGCCTTGAAGGACTGCATCGAGACAAATAGCCTGGTCCAGGGGTCTTCCATCAGATCCTTCCCTGGTCTGCATCAAACCAAGGTGTCTACCCTACTGGATTCTTTGAGGCCAAACCTTAGCCCGTCTTCCTTTGACTTTTCAATTCATCCCTTGCCCAGTAAGACACTGTCTTTATTTTTGAAATCCTCCACCGATAGGTCCATCTGATCCTAAGATTTCATGTCTCCTGCAGGTTTTTCTCACTTGGCTTTGCTGGGTTCCAACTTGATTTTTCCAATGGCAATAAGACTGGGTTTAAAAATAAACTAAAGGAATTATAATTGTGATAAGAAGTAGCCCAGGAGCAGTGACTAATGGAGGTGACTGTGGATTAAGTGACTAAGCAGTCAGTGGGCCAAGTAGCTATTATGAGATAAACCTCAGCTCAGATCAAGAGAATAGCACCCCACCTCCCTAGCGCCCTCTGCTGTCCATTTCTCCTGAAGTGTTGAATTCTAAATAAGAAGAGCCATCAACTTTCTCCTCACCGACACAGCCCCTTGAAGATCCTATGAAAGGATGGGAACTAACAGTCCTAAGTACCCACTGTATACCAAGCACGATGCTGGGCACTTTATAAAATCTCATTTACTCTTCATGACCATCCTTAAATCGTCTGACCTACCTCTCAGAAAGACAGAGGCCCACACATTCAGGATGCCCAGCTGACGGTGCTCTGGTGGCCTCGCTGACTGTGTCCAAGAAGTCTCACTAGAATCTGGGCCTGATATGGTATTCTATGAGGATGTCTGGCCTGAACCAAATGACAGGCTGAGGCAAGGTCGCCAAATCTCACTCTACTACCCAAGAAAATGGAGATATACAGTCATGGGGGTGAGTGGCCCAGGAGATCCTCTACATGAGGACATCTGAAGAGGATGGCAAGGAGTCACATCTGGAGGGCTCCCTAAACTGGAGGTTAGAGCTGGATTTATGTGGTGGCCACAGCTGCTGATGTGGGCAGGCTGACACAAGTTTAGGGAGCTGAGGCTTTTGTCACCACTTTAGAGCTAAGGAAATGAAGACTCATAAAGATGAAGTGGCCTGCCCAAGATCGTATCAAATGAACTTAAATTCCAACCTGGACCTGGTACATAAAGCTTCCATCATTAAGTGGTTGTGACACTAAAGTAAAGGTTTGGTTTTGTTAGCTCCCCTTCCCACCCCGCCACACACACACACACACACACACACACACACACACACACACACATCCCCATCAGCTGAAGTATCTGAGAACATAATTCTCTACCTTGGTCTTAGCAAAGGGCTTCATTCAACCAAGGTAACCCAGCCAGCCTAGGATCCCTGACACTGAGTTAAGAAAAAAAATA